TTAATAAGACTTAAGAGTTTTTTCAATAAAAAAAAGAGTGTTTTATAAAGAACAATAAATATTTGAATTTTTTATTTTAAGAACATGAAAGTGTTTGCTGAATAATGATTAAATAATAAATAGTTCATTTTCAACTGTTATTGTTGTTAAATTTAATATACTTTTATTTATTTAAATAGTCTAATCCATTAATCTTAAACCTCTTACGAGACATGCTATAAATCATCATAATTTATGAAACTCGTGTTGGTTTTGTAATACTGTTCTAGAATACATATTCTTTTGTCAAAGAAAGTCTAATAATCATCTTTTGAATAAAGTATAATTTAAAATATTTACTAGGGAAAATGTTGTGATTCACCTTTAATTGAATTTTCTCACGAATTTATTACTCCCTATATTTTCAATATTTTTTTTAAATAGGAAAAAGTTAAAAAGAGAAAGAAAAAAAAAATTGGGAGTATGTCCCGTACGGATCCTGACCCGAGTTCTAATTTGGAGGGAAAATGAATGGAAGCAGCAACTAATCCGGGGCTCCATTTTATTTCTTTCCAAGAACAAAATTACCAAAAATTATTTTAAAGCAAAACTTGGGGTGGGGGGCTCTTTTCTCTGTTCCTTTCAGTCACGCCTCGATATCTAACGGAGAATCAAAACAAAATTTCCATGCTACCAAACAAAACCAGCTGCTATTAAGTAATCCATGTGCAACTTCTAACTGTTTCAGGCCGAGAGAGACAGCAACAACTGAATCGAAACAAATCCCAAATCAAAATCAGAAGGCGTTACTGTTTTGTTGATCCCTTATTTGATTTCGATGCTTTTTGAAATCTCCGGTTTAACAGTAAGTTCCTTCTGTTTCTTACATAATCAGCAGAAAACTGAAGTGGGTTTCATTTCTTTATGCCTGTCTCTGCTACTTTTCAGCTTAATCTGTCATCGGTTGTATCGTTTTTTCATTTTTTTCTCAGGTTTTGGGTATGTACAGAGTGATATCTTTTTGGGTTTTACTTGAATTAAAATGGGTTCTTGCTTATTTTTGGTTTTGTTATTCCTGGTTTTCTGTTGATCCGAGCTGGGGTTATTTAAAGTTCCCTGCTTTTTTGCTATTTTCTTCTTAATATTAAGGTCTCCCTGAATATTTCTATTTCTGGGTTCTATGCGTTTCATTTCATTTTTCTTTTTTGGGTTTTATGGGATAAGGATCATTTCGGTTTTGATTATGCATGCTGCAAAGGACCTGTACTATTAACATAAACCTGTTTCTTGGTTTTGTTTCTCAGAATGTTTTGTGTAATTAATCCGAGTTTTGTGGTGCATGTTTCTTTGATTTTGGCCGTGTAGATGGATGATCAAGAAGAAGGGACTCATGATTTTTCGACCATGGGAATTCATGAATACTGTTAAGAGTTTTGTAACTATGATGGTAGGAGATAAGAGACACATAAAGCCTCTGTTGGTGAGATTCGGGGTGGCTCTAGCTCTCTCTTTTGCTGGATTTCTTTATTCTCGGCTTAGAAACAAGATGGTCAAACCTTATTTGCCTCCTGTTTCACCGCGTTCTTCAGGTTTATGTTCTGGCTTTTCAATGATGTTTTAGGTTTTGATTTTTGATTTAATTTTAGTTTTATGGTGAATGTTCTAATTGTATTTCATGGTCCATGTTTTTAATTGTTAATGGTTTTCTCCAGATCATAGAACTGAGGTTGATGATTCAGGAGCAAATGCTTGGCAAAGCAATGATCTTCATTCCCCAAAGACAATATCTGGTTCTGGCCATGTTGTATCAGTTGCATCTGAAAGATTTGTGAGTTTACTTGCATCATGATATCTGTTAACATAATTATTTGTCTTTCCATTGGTTCGATTGATGATAATGATTTTTAGCTGTGGTAAATGAAAATGAAAATGTAAAGATTGTCTTTTTCAAATAAATTCTGTTAACAAAGCTTTTTCTGATTTTGTACTGGTTGGTGCTGATGATTGATAATAAATCTCTTTATTTCTATCAATAAATTGAAGGAAGAAGATAAAGGGAAGCATTAACCTCATATTCATGTTATTTTCTTTTGCAGACAAAAGGAAAATTTCAGCTGTATAAATCTTTATTTAAAGATTTTGCAGTTTGAATGTTCTGTTTTAACAAAAATAATGACTGTCAGATGTACTTTATTATAATTTGTTCTTATACTATATTTGTCTGCAATAACTTGCACTTGTTTTGTACGTTGTTTACTTTTCTCTCTTTTATATGTTGCTCATTTTATGAGCTGATTTGGGGAATGAGTTGTTAACATCTGCTAAGTCTTGTAATGACATGATCTGAACATTTCTGTTCGGATGATTGGGGTAAGGTGAATGTGTACCAGATAACATCAAATTATGGGACCAAACACACCATTAAATCTACTTATGTTGATTCTAAACATTATTCTTTTGGTTACCACTCAGGGGGAAGAGATACACATTCAGAGAAGCAGCGTTGACAATTCTATGATTGGTCTTTCCCCAAGCAGCAGACACAGTGGAGATGGGTACCTCTTGCCAGAGTTTAATAATCTTGTGAAGGAATTTGATTTTGCTTCCACAACTTCTGGGCTTTCTCCTAGGAAAGGTGGAGAGACACCTAGGTCAGATATAGCTACTCCAAAAGCATTTAAAAGTGCTGAAAAGGATGAGTATGACTATGAGCAAGAGATCAAGGACCTGAGAAATGTTGTGAGAACACTTAGAGAGAGGGAGAGGAATCTTGAGGTTCAGTTGCTAGAGTATTATGGCTTAAAAGAACAAGAAACAGCAGTTTTGGAATTACAAAACCGCTTGAAGATAAATAATATGGAGGCTAAGCTTTTCATGATAAAGATAGAATCCTTACAAGCAGATAAGCAAAAATTAGAGGCTCAAGCTGCCGATCAGGCAAAGATTGCATCTGAGCTTGAAGCTGCTAAATCAAAAATTAAATTTCTCAAGAAGAAACTTAGGCATGAAGCTGAGCAGAACCAAGAACAACTCTTAAACCTGCAGAAAAGGGTTGCTTGGTTGCAAGAACATGAACTAAAGGCAACTGCAAGCGATCAGGATATTCAATTTAAGTTGCAAAGGCTAAAAGTTTTGGAAGGTGAGGCTGATGAATTGAGGAAGTCAAATAAGAGACTGCAGATAGAAAATTCTGAATTGGCTCGGAGGTTGGACTCAACACAAATCCTGGCAAATTCTGTTTTGGAAGATCCTGAGGTAATTAACTTGTTTGTGATAAATCATCTTCCTTTTGTTGTTAATGTTGTGCTCTCTCATACTTATTTTTCTGTTTACATATGGTCCCAGACTGAAGCACTAAAGGAAATGAGCAATTGCTTGAGGCAAGAAAATGAAGAGTTACAGAAGGAAATTGAGCGTCTCCAAGCAGATAGATGTGCTGATGTTGAGGAACTTGTCTATCTTAGATGGATAAATGCTTGCTTACGATATGAGCTGAGGAATTTTCAGGCCCCTCCTGGTAAAACTGTTGCCAGAGACCTAAGTAAAAGCCTGAGCCCCAGGTCTGAAAGCAAAGCAAAGAAGCTAATACTTGAATATGCTAATGTTGATGAGATTGGAGAAAGAGGTGTCAGCATCACAGATACTGATTTTGATGATTGCTCATCCTCGCACACTTCCTACGTTACAGACTCTGGAGATTTGGATGATACTTCTGTTGACAATTCAACTCTTACAAGAACCAACAGTTCAAGCAAAACAAAATTTTTAAGCAAGCTTAGGAATCTCATACGGGGAAAAGGCAGCGGGCGCCAATCTTATAGCCAGTGTTCATCAGCAGGCAAAATTGATCCTCCAGAAGATATTGAGTTCCACAGTCGCAGTCCAAGTGTAGGAATCGAAACTGTGTCTTACCATCAAAGTAATAGTTGCAGATTTCCATCTCCTCAGATTCCTCCAAGTATCTCCTTGAATGACAAAAGATCAAGGAGTCTAAGCATGGATGATGTTAAAGATGTCAAAAATGTCGAGAGAAATAGTGATATGAGCTCCTCATATGCATATAAAAGATTGGATGATGTTCCTGATCTGGCACACTACAGTCAGCTTGATCAGCACTCGGATTCCATTCAGATACCGGACTTGGTGAAGTTTGCAGAAGTTTTACAGAACAATCGGCCTCCAAAAGGAAAGCACAAGAGATCCTCATCTTTTGTATAAGTTAGCACATTGTGATGTACTTTTTTTTTTTTTTGTACATCGGAGTAGTTAGCTATTTGAAATTAAAGGGGTTGGTAGTTACCAATTCAATCTAGCTCTTATTGGTTGCTATATGCTTATTTATTTATATGCCATACTTCACCAAACCTTCTTGTTTGGGCTTTGTAACAATTACAGAAGAAATCAATGAAAAATAATTCCAAAAGTGCATGTTTAGTTTTTGAATTTTTATTTTGTTTGTTGAAATCATAACAACTAAAGCTCATAACTGAAATTCAAAATTAAAAACTAAAATGTTTAGTTAGCCAAAAAATTAAAAAAAAAAACTAAAATTAACAAATTTTTAGTACATAAGCTTCCTTCCATGTTTTGTCAAAAACCCCTAAATGTGAAATCACAGAATGATGCTGCATTTAGTAATTCTTAAAACGTCACCGTCTGTGAACACGTGTCAACTGTAAGTCACGAGTACGGGATTTTAACTACTTCAGTCGCGTGAAGTCGTTAAAATAGCAGAATCCCTGAATCGTTGTGTAAAGTACCGCGCGGAGAACTACCTTACCGTTATAACAACCAAAACCCCCTGCCTTCGCTCTCTGTGTTCTCCCCCTCTCTCTCTCTCCCTGGGTTTTACAGATACGACAAAGAAATGGTGAAACGACCTCCACGATCAACGCCGCCGCCGCCGCCGCCGCAGCCGCCGAGACCTCCACTGCCCCTGCTGCTGCCTGTAATGCCCGCTGCTTCACCTTACGTTGGTGATTTGGACCCCGAGGTTACAGAGTCGGAACTCGGCGACAAGTTCGCTCTGATCGCACCACTTCATTCCGTTCGCGTTTGCCGCTCCATCGTAACTGGCGAGTCTCTTTGCTACGGTTACGTCAACTTCTGGTCTCCTTCTGACGGTATAATCGCTTCCCAGCTCCGTCTAAATCTGTTTGGATTTCTTTGTTTTCTCGGTAAATGGTGACGTGAGTGCCGGTTAAGCTTCTTTTCCCGGAGGTGTATGGCCTTTTAACCATCCTGCATGACTTCTCTCTCTGTTTGTTTGTTTTCTTGGGATTTTGGGTCGGTTTTTCTTTCAATTGATGCTTTCGAAGTTCTAGGGTTTTAAGTAGGTTTTTGTTCCCTTTCTTTGCTGTAAATGGGGGATTAGGGGTTTTTCTTTTTCAGAAATATTTCAAGTTTATTGTTTATGCTCTGCCTCCTGCTATTTTACATTTCTTTTCTTGAATGGGGATTTAGTGATGCTTGTCCTCTGCTTCCTTAGATTCTTAGGAGTTCTTATTGACTGAAACCTGGAACTTCTTGTTAATTCTTAATCTTCGTCCTCTAGATGCCTATCTGGTTGAATGCTTTCTCATTTTCTTCATCTGCACTTCAGCTTGTCCAATCTTTCATCTTTTGGTGTTTTTTTTCCCTCTTTGTTTCAGCGTTTTATGTTACCTTCTGGATATTAATTTCTTGGCTTTCTTAATGCAACTTTAGATCCATAGAATGGAAAAGCATAATATTTAACTCAGTTTTCAATCCATTGTTGTCTTCTAACCAACCAAAGAATAGTTTGAGCATTGAAATTCTGGGGGTTTCTACAGAAGTGATCATGACTTTAGGTCGTTTATTATGGTTTTTGCAATTTTTTTCCTCTCTCCCGATCAGCATCAAAGGCTATGGCTTGTCTAAATCACACGGACTTGAAGGGAAAATCAATGAGGATAATGTGGTCTCAGAAAGACCCTTCACTTAGAAAGAGTGGTGTTGCCAACCTTTTTGTGAAGAACCTTGACCCTTCTATCAGCTCTGCCCATCTACACAGCATCTTCGGCAAATTTGGGATTGTACTTTCTTGCAAGGTGGCTGAAGAAAATGGCAAGAGTAAGGGTTTTGGATATGTGCAGTTTGATAAAGAGGAAGCGGCTATGGCTGCCCAAACTACTCTACACGATACCATGCTTGAAGGGAAGAAGTTGTAAGTATTCTGATTTCTTCCGTAGGCGGAAGGGGATGCTATATTATTTAATCCTCATTTGGTCAATTTGTGTGTGTGTGTGTGTTTTATTTATTTATTTATTTTTCTATACTGGTTGTGGATTTTATATAATTTCTATGCATTTCTTACAGCAAATATGATTTTGGAATTTCTTGAGAATTGTAAACACTCCTAGATGAAGAGCATGTTTGAGTTAGCATGTTTGAGTTAGCTTGTAAGAGTTTTTATTTTTATTTTTTGTACTGTTTATGAGTGATAAGTTTAAATTTTTATTGGAGGAAAAATTTAAAAGTTGCTTTTAGAGATAGGAAAAAGTCAGTAAAAAGAGAGTTTATGAAAAGTTTGGATTTAAAGCTTTTGAGCTTTTACTGTTTGAAATCTTTTTAAGGTTAAAAAAAGTTTAAAAATATAAGTTTTTAAGAAGGAAATTTAAACTTATGAAATATGAATAGTGTCAAAAAGCTGAAGCACTTGGAAGCTGAACCAAACATGTCATATACTTTCAGAATGTCAAGAGAATCAGTTTAATCATTTGCTTACATTCTCTAGTTGTTTCTTGTTGCTTTTGATTCAGTGTGATGAAACTGTTCTTACCATGAAAAATAGTTAATATTTTTTTGTCATACTTCAACACAGATACGTGTCAAAATTTGTAAAGGATAGTGAGAGGAAAGCGGCTGCTGAAGTAAATTTTACCAATCTCTATGTGAATAATCTGGCTGACAACATGACAGAGGACATCTTGAAAGATACATTTTCTAATTTTGGAGAGGTCAGCAGTGTTCAGATCATGAAGGATAATGAGGGAAATTCAAGAGGTTTTGGATTTGTCTGTTTCTATTCTCCAGATGATGCTAAGAATGCTTTGGCAAACATGAATGGTGTACAACTGGGTAAAAATCTTGAATATGTCAATATGTTTCTCTGGTTCAAATTCTATATTTCACAACAAGATTAGTCTGTGTCTGATATGTAGAATTGATAACTTAATCAGGTTCAAAAACTTTGTTTGTTGGGAGGGCTCAAAAGAAATCAGAAAGAACAAAGATGTTGAAACATGCACACAAGGACATGTTTGACAGCCATATGGGGAAGTTGAAGGCTTCAAATTTGTATGTCAAGAACCTCAGTAACTCCATTGATGACCAAAAATTGAAGGAGATTTTTGTTACCCATGGAACAATAACCTCTGCAAGAGTGATGCGATATGATAATGGGATGAGTAAAGGATTTGGCTTTGTCAGTTTCTCCACACCTGAAGAAGCAAAGGCTGCTTTGGATGAACTTAATGGTCAGCCAAACTCACTCTGCTCTTTATCCTCTATCATATGACTATTTGAGTTTTGAGGTGATTTATTTTGTTGTCACTAATGTGAGTTTACACTTTATATTAATTAGGAGCTGTTCATGAAGAGGGAAGACCTTATATGGCAATAGCTCAATGTAAAGAAGATCGCTTGAAAGAAGCACAAAACAATAAGAAAAAGTTACAGAATACCTCTACACTTCCCTTAAATCCTTCTAGCAGTGGTATTACTTATGCTCAATTCCAACCATTATGCTTCAGTTTACCTACCTGCCCTCCTTCATATGCTCCAGTGTACCAGTCATTTGTGTCACATTTGGTTGAAGTGTGGGTTTTCAGCATCCTTCTGCAGGAAAGAATTATCAGCAAAACTTCTCTTCATCTGTAAAGGTGTCATTGCCTCATTGGTTTGTGTGCTATTAATTTTTTTCCACTGAAGCTCTAATCTGTCATTTAATCCTATTTCATTGATGATATAACAGATTCTGATGATTCATCTGGGCAATTCTGGAGACAGTGGTGGCTGGAAATACAGACAGCATGTATGGTCCACCTTTTTCTGTTGATAGATTAAAATTGCTATCCTATGATTTCTGTTGAATTATTTGCAATTAGAATCTAATAGAAAGATTACATGTTAGCAAGTTAATTTATTTATCCAAAATGCCTATTGGCAGGATAAGTTGGATATATGGATTTTCAGTGCTTCTTGTTATCAATTCTGCTTATATCCTGCTGAGTGATTGTTTATTCTCTTTCTGTAGTGCTTGACATATGCTAAGTCTGGTATTCATACCCAACATTTGAACTGTGGTAAGTCTGAGAGTCTGAAAGTAAATTTCACAAAGAAGAGGACCAAAAAGAGTAGAGGTTCAGAGAGTTCCACCAGATACCATCTTCACTAACATTGCCTGGGAACTCCAAGAAAAACATTGGGGATCTTGGCTCCCAAAATTCCTCAGGTTTGTGATCAACGTACTTCTGGTAGAATATGTTAAAAATTTGTCTGAGTGAAAAATGTTATGTTTTTAAGTTATTGACTCTTGTTTTTCTCTATCTGTCCAGTTTGAAGCCAAGAGGTACTTATCCCACTTACTGGTATAATCAGCTCAATAAAAAGAAGCTACTACTTAGCTCTCCAAATTCCTCCCTTGAGCAAGTTGACAAGGCAGTTGCTAGGACCGACAGAGACTGTGATATTGCTCTGCCAAATCAGCCTGCTGCTTGAGCAACTAACTTCGCCTTAAAATGTTTTTCTCAACCCAATTTTTGTTTGTCACATGCTAGCTATAGCTATGAGAAATATTGCTGCATACTTTCTTTGCACGTGAGGAAGCATATTCAGTTACTTTTTTGTACTCAAATTTCCTCAAGTAGAAGGGAACATCAGTTTTTTCCCCATGGTGAATCATATCTGAAGAACATATAGACCTTTTTTTATTATTATGCCTTTCTTGCTTCTTCTTCTTGTTCCTTTTCCTAGCAATTTGTTCTCTAGCTCTTTAATATTTCTTGAGTGTACAGTTCTACAATTTGGCTACTCAAAACCCTTCCTAGATAAAATTGAATTAAACTTCTTTTACTGGCAACAGAATTTTCTTTAGTACATGATATTAGAAAAAGCTTTTGCAATTTCCATGATGATACTGAAGACACTAGTAGAACACATAAAACAGATTCAAAGGGTAAAAGGTAGGTATGGGTCTTATCATATGAGGCTTAAGCCTTGGGTAATCAATGCATCAGCCAGGACTTGATTAGCAGCCTGAGATGGATGTACGCTATCCCAGAACACATACTGAGTGGCATTAGAACAAGTTCCTAGTGACTTCGGATTGCACAGGAAAGAGGTGGTCTCTATGGTCCCTGTTCCACAGCAGCCTCTTGTAGCTTCCACAAAACCTATCAAAAACCAAAGTCCAAATTAGTTCATTATTCAGTGCTCATATGACCAGTCAAGTAACGATGTCAGAGGGCTTTGTTTTTGTTACCATTCTTTGAAGGAGATTTGACTATGTCATAAAGTGGCTTGTAGATGTCAAAAACCACAATCTTAAGACCAGGGAGTTGCTTTTGCAGGTTTGCTGCAGCTGAATTGACCTTCTTGTTGAATTGTTGGGCGTCGTTATTGATCCTAGACACACAACCCTTCTCATGCCACCCAAACAGTGTTCTTGCCAACGGAAGGCAACCCAGTGGTGGCAGAGAGGTAACTCCTATCTTCCTGGCTCCCAATCCATACAAGTCCTGTTTTCCATGATTTAGCTTTAATATCAATTCATTCAAGCTACAAACTTTTTTTGACCTTCAAAAGTGGTTTATATACATACCTTAACAAAACTGGAGAAGACACTGAGAAGATATGAACCATATTGATCAGGAGTATAGACTTTGTTGAGTAAAGGATTGACATAGTAGTTCTGAAGGAAGTCACTATTTCCAGCACTGAGAATATATATTGAGTCCTTGATAATGGATGCAGATTTAGTACTTCCAGCTACCTGAGCCAACTTTTTCTGATACTCCTTGTAATACTCCAATTGCTGTGACAATGGGATAGCATGCTGCAAAATACTAAAATTGTTTAACAAAAAGGGAAAGAAGTATCGGATATATGCATAAGATGGAATTCTATTTCTCACATTTAGGGTGGCAGCTTTATCATCATAACCAGATGCAGCTGAAGCAAAATTCGCACCAATTAGAAGATTCTTCCCTGATGCTTCCGGGCTTAGATATGCTGGGGCATAAGTCTTGAATCCCAGAGTTTCAGCTGCAAAAGGAAATCTATCTAGTTTATTTACTTAAAGACATAATCACTAGACAAATTAGTGGTACTCTACTTACTACTTACCAGTAATATCAGTGGCTAACTTCCCATTGCAAAACCTCCCAGTAGGTTTGTGATTGACGAAGTCCTTTCCATAAGGAGGGTAATTAGCCTTAAAAAGGGTGGGGAGATAGTCATTGTTTCCAACATCTACTGCAGAATCACCAAAGGTTATGATGGCCGGAACAAGAGTCCCTGAGTCCTGTGCATACCCTTTGCTTAGAAGTGCAAATGCCAAGACCAAAAGAATTGCTTTTGCATGGTACCTATCCATTTTGCATAACTGTGGTGCATTGAGCTGCTGCCTTGGTCCTTATAAAAGGGCACTGGAAATGATCCAACCGTGGCTTTGTCATGAATATGGAAGATAGAAGTTGAGAACGGCCAATAAATGAGAGTAGTTCAAGTTTCTATTATGCATTCAAGTGATACGTTTTTTCAAACAAATTTCCAGCATATTTTTAAATTTTGTTTCCGTTTTATTTTTCCTCTCTCTCTCTTTCTCTCTCTCACTCTCTCTAACATTTATGAAGCAGAGATGAAGTTGACAAACCCATATAGGAATTTATTTGTATCTAACTAAGAAGAGGCAGGGTAGTTGGGATGATATTATGTATATGGTGATAACAAGGGGTTGGAACTACAGGGAAGTTGCATGTGATAGAGTTAATAAATCGGTCCATTGTTTCTTCTTCTTGATATGTGAATCAATTTGGAGGATTGAGGAAAGAAAAAAATCCAAACATATTGCTTTCAAAGTCTATCTTTTTCTTTTCTTTGGAAAAGGAAAAAGATCTACAGGACTCCGGAGCAAACATCTGAGAAGAAGCATATACCCTGATACTGAAACTGTAAATTTTTTTCTAGGAAGATTTCCAAGTAACCATGTACATGAAATTGATGGGATTTTGTTTGTGTACAGATATTTATGTATAGACTCTTTGCAATTAATAATGGGGTCCGGTGTATTGATTTGAAGCACCATTTATTTCTTGGAAATTCAATTGCTTAGTAGTTGGTTTTCATTATCATTTACACTTCCAAGCTGGCTGCATGTTAGAGGATTGGTAGCCGATCTTAGCCCAACCATGAGGGTTGAAGAACTGGATCCTCATCAATGTTTGATACTGCTAGTTTTCTACTTATTTTGTTTGCATATTTGGTATTTGGGGTTTCCTAATGGTTTAAGCACAAGAATTTAAAGGTGGGAGGTTTCAATATAAACCTTGCAATGTGGCAGGATGTCTATTGGAAACAAAGGGTTGTTCCTAACAAAAAAGTGGGAATTGGAAGGGAACCCCTTTAAAAAAAACTGGAAACAAGTAAAAAAAAAAAAGAAACCCGGAAGGGCAAGTGCAAAAAAAAATCCCAACAAAATAAATAAGCAAAAGGGTTTCATTTGTAGTTGATGATGTAAAGATGAAAACTTACTTGACTACGAACATAAACTCTAGGATTAAGCTTGAAAAATGAAGTACATGATGAACTGAGTTATGGTATTACTCAGCAAAACAGCATCGATGATACATCTAGTTTCGAAGAAAAAGCAGAAACTTATACACGGTAGTTGCTAAAACAAAATGAAGTTAAGAAACTACAATACAAACTACCACGCCATTAACATGGTTTACAAAATTACATAAAAGCATAACTGCTAAGAAACTAACTTAACAGACTTTGTCTCAAATACACCATAGAAAGCTTTAAACAACAAGAGGGATTTACATTTACAAATCCCCAAGGCATTGTCTATTGAATTACCTAGCAGAAGGAGGAGTGATTTCAAGTGAATTACTCAATATCTGGCACTCCGTCCTCTGAGTTTCTTTGGAACCCATCTCCAACTCCAAACACTCCTTGAGTTCTGATAATACACAACTCATGTCCGGCCTTTGGATTCCAATTGGCAACACACATGACATTGCTATCTCCATTGCTTTCCAGGCTGCATTAATGTTGAATTCACCTTGTAACCTTGGATCAATGATCTTTCGGATATCCCCTATTTCAATCAAAGGATTAATCCACTCAATTATGTGAATGGCTTCTTCTCCTCTTGTTATGACAGGCTGACCACTAACTAGCTCTAGTAGAACTATTCCAAAGCTATAGACATCACTTTTCTTGTTAATGACTCTTGATGAGTGAAACCTGTATGAAAACATAAAAACAATTATATCAATAAGATGTTGAGAAAGTGTTACTAATCATGTTTGAGATTTAAGACTCACTCAGGGTCTAGGTATCCGAGTGTTCCTGCAGGGCAAGTTGATATATGGGAAGCAAATTCTGTTAAAAAAGCTCTAGATAATCCAAAGTCAGCTATCTTGGCTTGCATGTTTTCATTTAATAAGATGTTGGAGGTTTTCAAATCTCTATGAACTATTGGTGGCCTGCAACCATTATGCAGATATTCCAATCCTGCAATGATAACACTACAAAAATGTCAATTAAACTACTTAAAGCGAAAATGAAAATTTGATTTGGAAAATTCTGTAGGATGGACCATGTGCAGCATCTACAGCAATTTGAAGTCTTTCAATCCAGCTCAAAATGTTTGTGTTTCTATCTGTAGGAAAAATTTGTCAGTATAACCTTTTACCAGTTCAGTTTGTTAGGGTCAGTGAATTTTGGTTAAGGATTGTTGAGTACAACATGGATTATACCTAATAAATGTTGCCTCAAGTTTCCATTAGCCATGTATTCATAAACCAAAGCTTTGTTGTCATCTTCATCACAGTATCCCACGAGTGAAACCAGGTTTTTATGATGAACTATCATTAACAATTGCGCCTACATTTGAAGATAATGACATGTCATAGTAAAATTCATTTGGTACAATGTCTTGTGTTATAGAGGACTAAGAAAAATGGCTGTAGTGATCCAACCTCTGCTTGAAATTCCTTATAGCCTTGCTTTGATGATGCTGATAGAACCTTAATAGCAACACAAGTGCCATCCTTCAAGGTGCCAAGGTAAACTTTTCCAAATCCTCCTTCTCCAATAACCATTGTGAAATTTGAAGTTATGTTAGAAATCTCGGAGTAAGTAAAGGTCATATTCTTTGATTTCATTGACCACTCCTCCTTTAATTTGGCCCCTAAAGCAATGAAAACCACATATTTAAAGATAAACATAAGCATTAGAAAATGCTTTTACTTAATTTTTTTTATAATGTGGTTACCTTTTTGTCTTCTCCTTTTAATTCTGCAAATGATGAATAGAACACTCAAGAAGAGAAGAAGGGCCAAAATTGACACAACAGAAGCAACAATGGCAAGAACCTTCTTCTTATTGTTATTTTCACAAGCATTTGTCAGGCATAGGTCTGGATTTTCATCCAATCTGCGATTGAGTACGTAGGATAAATCATTAGATTTACAACATATTAATCATGAATACTAATCTTGTAATTAGAATTGCCTAATCTGAAAAAATATGCCCATAAGAAAGCATCAGAGGATTGTTAGCAATCATGTAACAAGATGCATAAATTTTTTGTCATTCAGATCAAAAGATAAGCTCAAAATCCAAACTTAAAAACAGTTTAATGAAATTTGGAGGCTAGGCAATATTGGCAAAGAAATGAAATCAAACCTTAATTGCATAGTTCCGTTATTAGACTTCTCCATTAAAACCCTGGGAATCTGTCCACTGAACTTGTTTCTAGATAAATCACTACAATGAATGTGCCAAATATGTATTGATTATAATTTGTATAACTTTGAAAAGAAACAACAAAAAATTGGTATGGAGGATCAATTAATGTAAAAATAACATACAGGACTTTCAACTTAGGTAGTTGTGCTAAAAATTCTGGCACTGATCCTGTCAATTTATTATTTGATAGGTCCCTGAAACCCCCAAAAAAAAAAAAAATCTGATTATGAAATTCTTAACAAAATTTCAATATATAATCACACGACTACTTACAGAGTCTCCATTACTGTGAGATTGAAAAATGAAGAGGAAATCTCTCCTTCCAAGTTACTTGAGCTCAAATTCCTGTTTGTAATTCATTGAATAAAAATAGAGATATTTGTATTAAGAAAAATCTTGTGTCAATAAGCATATTAGTAGAAGTTTGTAACTACATTTTTAGTCTCTCTACTTTCAAAAAGGGATAGTTTTGTCCACATCCTAGCAATTGGTGAGAATAAGCAACAGGGACTGGGCTTTCTCTCCATCCCTGTGTGACCTACTTGTCATCTAGATTAGATAATTTCTTACAGATATGTGATCCTCGTAAAATTGTCGAAACCGCAGTGCAAACCACTCCACTCATATGCTCCTGGGACACACGGGTCTCCTTGCCAATCAGCTCTGTTTATCTTGTACATTTGCATGATGTCCATGATTGCATCAACTGCAATTGTTCAACACATCATACTAAATTAACCATTGCATCTAAACATCTTGCAATATTACTAATTATGTATCAATTAGATTTAGAAAAACACACACACACACAAACCATACCATCCTCAAGATAGGTCGGTGCTGTCGGGAAATCAACATCCATATATATCTCGAAGGCATTAAGAAGGGGTGGAAGATTAGATTTTGTCGTTGCACCAATTGAAAAATTGACAAATCCTTTGATCGAAAAGTTCTGGGGTCCTATGCTTAGTGGTTTTAAGTATTCAAGGGTAATCGGGGCTAACGTCACACCATTCAATGTAATGCTGATTTCTCGTTGTTGATCTTTTGTGGTATTCACAATCTCAGCAAAGTGAAAGTAGACATATAGATCCCTTCTAGAGAAACCACTTGATATCGAGAACGAATAACTCAGTGAATCCCAGCGATTCGATGGTTGTGTAGCTGTTCTAAGAATTTCTGTTGGAATTCCGTAGTTATTGTTATTGCCTATGATATCAGTATTTGTCATCCTTTTGATTGAATGTGCTCCAGAAAAATTGAAATGTGTCCAGAAACGATCATAAACATCATCCTTGTATCTAGTGAGGAAGAAATAAAAATCTCAATAAATATAATATATGAAACTTCATTGAATTATTTTGAAAGTTAAGGAACCAAATTACTAGAAGTTAAAGGAATACATCATATTTTTACCCTTTATATATAAGTTCATAACTGAAAAGATAGTCAATGATCTAACAGGTTTCAACCCTCACAAACCTGTGAAGAAGCTTTTTACATTTAAAGTTTTGGCTAATTGATCAAAATGCCTTCCTCTAAAGATACTTCTCGTCTTAAAAACCATATGGTTTGGAGGCCAGAGAAGATTAAAAAAGAGAAAAAAAAGAAGCCCAAAAGCCGTTTATAAAAAGCAACTTCCTTAGGCTGTTTAGTAATGTTGGTTTTAGATTTTAGTTTTAGTTATTAAAATTTACTAGCTGTGAATTAAAATACAAACTTTAATAAATTGAAAAAAAATGTTTTGGCCATCACTTGTAAAATTTTGTACTTAAAAGGATGTTTATTTAAAATTTAAGATTTAAATTTAGCAAATAGGGGTCCATTTTAATCGTTCGACCATCCACCATATCAATACTAAAAACAAAAAATAGCATAGGTTCTTGTCACGTACCTGGCTGTGGAAAAATTGGGATCGGTCATGACGTCATAACGGATTTGGTTTGATACTACTCTTGATTCAATCTGGTAAATGGAGTCGTTCAAAAGCCGAAGTTCCAACCCAGAAATGATTGGAATGCCGGAGCCGGTATTCACCAAGCAGACATCTATTGTATCGGTCGACAAAAATTGGATGATTTCACCATAATAAAATGTCATGTCGTTGCTACAGTCCACGTTCATCCAAAAATTCACTCCAAGGTATACTCCAAACGAAGGGGGTTGTTGCAGGCCATCATAATTTCCATAATAAAATATGGCTCTGAACATGTAGTGGTGGCCTTTGCCCTGTTCAGGTTTAAGGTTGTAACAGTTCTTCTTTCCTTCTGGAAAACTTCTCAAGGTTTTAAGCATCTGCCCCACTTGAGGATGTGTGGGCATGTATTGTGGGGACACCTGTTTCTTCACTCCAGTTGTAACGAAATCAGAATCTGACTTGTAATATAGTCCACTTTGCTCATCCGGATAATCTTCATCCACCCCACAATCAATGCTTATTGAACCTTCACTCCATACAAATTAAAATCATGATAATAAAAATTAAACATCAATTTGGAACTCAAATCAAAAGAAAATAAAATTAAACTAAAAAAGGTTATATTATTTAAAGTTTTTATCAATTGAACATATATATAGTTTAATAAGCTTTGATTCAGTTACCTGGCCTGCCAGTAGTAGTAATGAGCTTTCTTGATTCGACATGTTTGTTATGTCCCTCGCACAATCCAGCCATGAGGACTGCCAGATTGAAGATAACCCATGGTTTAAAGACCAATGATTCTCTGGCACCCATTTCACTCACAAATTGGTTCGCAGGAAAATGGATATAAACTTGCTAAGGTGGCAATGTATTATATAGGATCTAGCAAACAAGGATTTTTCTTATTGGAGCATAGAATACTAGGGGTGGGCAAAAACCGGTTTCGGTTAAAACTGAAACCGATTTTGAAATAACCAAAATATTTTTTTTCTAATTTTGAGAACCAAAACCGACCGAAATGATCAAAAAACCGATCGGTTTGGTTATCAATAAATTGGTTTTAAATCGGTTTGGTTTCGGTTTTTGATAATAAATAATAAATAATTATTTTTCTAATAATATATTATATTTTATCATATATTTTATCATATTTTAGTTTTTAAATGACTTATTTTCGGTTTATTTTCGGTTTTTGATTTTTAAGAGACTCAACCAAAACCGAATCGAAATATATTCAGTTAATACTAAAACCAAAAAAATAAAACCAAAAACCATTAAAACCAAACCAAATTTATTTTTTCAGTTCGGTTTCAAGTAAACAATCGGTTCGGTTAAAAAATACCCAGCCCTATAGAATACGGTAAAAGGAACGCAATATTCTTTTGTGCTACCTGCTCCTATACCAAGATTTGGGCTTCTAAAGTCCTAGTTTGTACGTGTATATTATCTATTTTTTCAACTTCCATTGTCACCACACTTGGAATTTTCACAAAGTTTGTGATATTAACGTAGGACAATATTGATATATGCATTGTGTAATGCATTTCTAAGATTTAAATATATTGACTACTCCATATCATGAAATTAATCTCTATTAATTTCCTAATCCTTTGCTTAATTTCTCTTTCGCTGGAGTTATTAGGTTAAGGTCAAAGCTCAAAGCTAAAAAAAAGTTATTTTCTTTTTTAATTTTTTTTTTAATGTTGAAGCAAATGATGATTGGATGAGATTTGCATTGGATCTCTCTCTCTTTTTTTTTTTCTTTTTTGTGTTAATGTAGTTCATAGAAGCAAATAAACCTTGCCTGAAGGAATTAATTAGCCGAGTACAAGAAGCACTTGTGGGTCAAATGGTCACTTAATTATTGGTTAAAGGGTATCTTATTTTGAGTGTGGGGTTCAATTTCCATTTCTTCTCGCATTCTTTCGATATGGTGGTTGTGACCGTTCCTGCCCAAAAAGGCAATCAGTAGATTGCATCTTTGTTCAGGTTTAATATATCTTATTAACAATTCTAACTTTACTAATTTTTAATCATTGTCTTTGTAAAAAAAAATAAAAAAAAAATTAACCGAGTACGGTATTTGATGTATAAGGTGGAGTTGTGAATTATTTGTCAGAATCAACACCAATCAAATGTATTGATGACTCTAGCATGCATTGCACCTAAACGGATTTGAAGCCTAGAACTTGTCTTCACCCCAAATATAATTACCGACAGCGATAATTACCCGACTCGCCTAGGATTGGTGTTGCTCTGAATAAATAATAGTTTACTGACTTGACTTCTCAATGAGAATGACCATTTCCTTCCTTTCCTTTTTTTTTTTTTGGAAATTGTTTTTATTCCTTCGTTCTCTTGTTTGAATTCGATCTTTGCCTCAAAGTCAGAAGAGAATCGTTCTTTTCTTTTTGTCTTGTTTGAAAATATTCAACGATGGTTAAAAAATTACTTTTGAATACCGTTCTATGAGTTGGTCAAAACAAAACTAAACAAATTTAAAATATGGTTGC